TCTTAATCCTCTCTGTTCAAGCTCTTTATGTGTAAAAGAAATCTCTTTATTTTATAACTCAGTTACCCACTGTACACTATGTACTATGTGGTTACTACTTGGTTTGGTGAAAAGCAACTGAAGGTGTGTTCCTAAATTATAACCTTAAATTATAAGGTTATGTTTTTGTGAACATAAAAATAGATATTATGTTGTATACTGCATATAATATATAAAATTTATAGGAGTTTGAAGTTAGGTTTTCACATTTATGAAACATTTAACTTTAATCTCATTATATTTTTCTTAAAAACAACCTAGTGAGTACTAATTAACATAATGGTATGAGGTGACTTCTTGTTTATTATAATAACTGAAGCCAATTTATCACAGAAATATTAAATATTTTACCAGTTTTTAATTATTATTTTAGTTATATAAAATCAAATCATGCACAAGGAAAATCTCACTGTTGTAAGAAGATAAACCTCAGGAATATTTTTTTTTTCTTTAAAAACATTTAGGGAATTACTGAGGAAAAAACTGTTTTATGGATTCATTCAATCATTTAAAAATATTTAATGACTACTCTGTCCCAGACACTGTACTAGGCACTAGAGATGCAGAAATGAATAAAGTAGAGAAACTCCTTACCTGAAAGAGATGTACATTCTATCAGAAGGAGGTCAACAATAAATGACATAATTTCAGGTCATGCTAAGTTTTATGAAGAAAATGAAAGCATGGTAAAGAGATAAAGAATGGTAGATTAAGTGGTTAATAACAATCCCTTTGAGTGACTGGTAACAGAACAGATACATCAAAACATTAAAGTGAGTGAATAAGCCAGGTAGATGTGTGAGCAACAAGCTTTACAGGCAAAAGGAATAGCAAGTATAAAGGCTTTGAGACAGAAATGTATGCACACTTAAAAGATTAACAAGGCAACCAGAGTTATTGGAACCAGAGTGAACCCACTAAGACCAGGAGACTAATAGGAACTGAAGATGATTACATAATTAAGGGCCATCTCGTGTAGTGCTTTGTAGGCCAAGATCAGGTTGCATTCTATGTGTGCTACAAGTCATTGGAGAATTCTGAGCCAGGAGTGATAATCTGGTATGTGTTTTCAAAAGAGCTTGTCTTGGATAAAAAGTAGACTCTAGTTGGGCAAGAATGAAAGCAGCGGACCAATTAGGAGGCCACTGTAAGAGTCCAGGCTGTGTCACCAGGTGGATAGTCATGGAAATAGTATGCCACAGTTACAGAAAGTGAACTATGTTTCTCTAAAAGTGAACAGAGAGGCAAAAGCATGTGTTCACATTATGCATTGTGAAGTTTAGTGAAGTGTGGGATCACTTATAAGTTACAGTAAAATTAATATAATTAAGTAGCTTAAATGTCTTAGCTAAATCAATTAAAATAAATCCAATTTATTTAAGCACACTTACTACTCTGTTTTACCCACTGTCCTAAGCATTTCACACTATTGTGAAATGAAAAGTGTTTGGAACTGGTTTTCCGTTGTTAAATTACAAAAACTTTCAGAAGTATGCATAAGATGTTTCACTGACCAGAGCATGTCTTATAAAATAATATCACTATGTTCTTTCATTACTAGGACCTTGTAAAGAAGGTTTTTTCAACATGATCAAATTAGGAGTCATTGTGACATTCATGAAGATCGCTTTGTTATCCAAATTTTGTGTTAGGTAATTGGAATTTAAACCAATAAATGTTACCATTGTTCTATGAAACTTTAATCAAATGATTGATATTAATTACAGAACTCCATAAAAAGAATTATTCTGTTTTCCTTTAGATGGGTTAGTTCACTAGAAATTACATTAATGTACAAATAAATCTTATTTCTCGAGTAAGATCAGAAAAAAAGTTAATTTTGAAATTCTCTGGGTAATTTTCTTTGAAAATTTTTGTAAATTAAACTATTATTTTAGTAAGTTGAAACTGCATTTAGCAAACATTTACCAAGTCATTCCTTGGTGTCAGATTTTGTCCAATGACCTAGGGATATTTGATTGATTATTATGACAGTAGAACAATGTGGAAAAGTTTCACATAGAAGGATAGAATATTAAATAAAACTTATTAACAAGATAACTGCTGCCCAGGCATCTTTCTGAAATTTCCAGGGAGGGATACTTTATCATAGTAACTACACTTTAATTAATTTAATCACCACAACATTAAATACTACTAACAGAAGATATGTTTAAAACAATCTGTTATTTTAAAAAATAGATTTTTTAGAGTAGTTTTAGGTTTATAGTCAAATTGTGCAGAAAGAGTTTCCATACCTTCTCCATTCTACTCTGGTTTTCATTATTATTAACAGTTTCCTTTAGTGTAGTACATTTGTTACAATTGATGAACAATTATTGAGACATTAGCTAAAGTCTATGGTTTACTTCAGGGTTTTACTCTTTGTGTTGTACAGTTTTATGGTTTTTGACAAATGCCCAGTGTCATTTATCCACCATTATGATTTCTTACAGAATAGTTTCACTATCTTAAACATGTTCTGGCTCCACCTATTTGTCACTCTGCTCCCCTGAGCCCCTGTCAACCACAGATCTTTTTACTGCCTGTGTAGTTTTGCCTTTTCCAAAATGTCATATAATCGGAACCATACCAGTTGTAGCCTATTCAGACTGCCATTTTTCATTTAGCAATATATGCATTTAAGGTCCTTCAGGTCTTTTCATGTCTTACTAGCTCTTTTCTTTTTATTGCCGAATAATATTTCATTATAGGAATGTACCACAGTCTGTTGATACATTTATTTGTTTGCAGTAAATGTCTAAAAGTGTCTATTTATATCTTCTGTTTCAAGTGACTAATTTCTTTTATAATTGAAAGAATTTTGCTACATAATGTTTTGTCTTTTTTTCATTTTATATTTGGGATAGAAATTTTATTTTAGGCAATACTAAGTAAATTTTGATGTATGCCTACTCAAACGTATTAATATATGCCTGTGGAACAACTTACCTTTCTGGGAATAATGTAGTAGTTTTGCCTTTATATATGTCATTTGAATTGTTTCCTAACTTTTGTTAATATCTACTATGAATTTTAAAATATTTTACCAACTTAAAGCATATTCACTTATAGGCTTTACATGTGATAAAATTTTGCTTTTCATGTGCCTAGGGTGAGGGAGGGTGCACAGTGAAGTGGTACATAGAAAAACTGTGCTGTATATTCAACCCCCTGAACAGAAGCAAGCCACCATTTCAGATTGTCCATTTTTTTTTTTTTAACCTAGAATCTGTTTCTTAAAGGATCACTATCTTTCCCTAACAGCCTTCTTTACTTTTTCAAACCATCTGTACTTCCTTCCCTTCTGTCTTCGAGGAAATGCTGTCTCTTCCTTATGGAAAGTATTCCATCTTCCCAAACTCTGCACTTGACCCTCTAAATTTTCAGTGACTGAATCTATTAATCACTGTCCCTGCTTCTACATATTCCCCTTTCCATCTCTACAGATTCTTTGATAAATGAATGAATGAATGTCTCCCTGATTCCATTTCTGGCTTCTGACATGCATCTCATGCTTTGTTTTGGTATAGACTCCAATAGCCTGGGGTTTAGGTCCTGGTTCCAATGCTCAGTTAGTTCTGTGACCATGAACAAGTTTTTGACTTCTCATGGATTCAGTTTCCTTCTCTTAAAATGGGAATAATAGTAGGATTGTATAAAGATTAAATGTGACAATTCATGTAAAGTTCTTACCACAGTGCCTGTTGCATAGCAGATACTTAAAGAACTTTACCAAGTATTATTGCTAAACTGATAATTGTCTTAGATTTAAGAACATGTAATATGATGATATCTTCACCAGGACCCTTAAGACCTGTTTTTTTCCTTCTTAGTATTTAGAGAAATGTCTCTCTCTCTTCACTGCTGCTCAGAGGTACTCTATTCATGCATCTGAATGCTCTCTCTTTCCCACACAGACCCAAAACACAAATGCAACCAAATACATACCCAGAATAATATTGTCAACAAACTTAGTCTTTTAATAAAGTTTCGTTTTTGAAGTTCTCCAACAATCCTTGAGGTAAGAAAACAAAACCCAATTTCATTATTCTGTCCCTCTTTCTGTAGCGCTCCATAAGCAGCATTTCTTATTTATTCTCGGAAAGCCCAGTATATTTATGAAAATAAAAGAAGTAGAGATATAGCTTCCCATCATATATGAGAATAGATGCCTTTATTATTTAAAATATTATAATTATTTCCTGCAACATATTACAGCTTAAGTTCATCCCTGACAGATGGTTACAACATGATGAGTGAAAAGCATTAGTAATTTAACATATTTAAGCTACCGTGGAAAATTAGCAACTTTGTGAAAATTGAAAAACTCATTTCCTAATGCGATTTAGGCAAGGCTGCAAGGCTTTTCATTAAATAATATAAAACAAATTAGAGGGATAGAAACAAAACTCAGGGGCAGTAAACAATCACATTAAAACATGATTTTCAAAATGTTAACCATTTAAAGACTAAAACCTTTTAACTGTACTCTGTAGTTTTAAAACAAGAAAAACATATTTCTTGATTATCAACTAAATGATTTGAGGTAGATGTTATTATTATCACTATTTAGAATTTGACCAAGGTATTTAGACAGTCATAACTTACAGTAAATGTTTTTTTTAGTTTAGATTAAAAATAACTATGAGAAGATTCCACAGCATCATAATTCAGGTACTGAATGTATAGTAATTTCTTCAGTTTTTTCATTCCACACAGATTTTTTTCTTTCTTTAACTACTTATAATAAATGCTGTTTTGCTAATCTTGGAGGACATAGAAATGAATAACAGAAAAATCAGATGCTTCAACTCAGGGTCAAGAATGCTTTAAATGTTAACGTAATAGTTACTCAGACAATTCTCAAGTGTGAAATATTTGTTTTGTTTAATTTGGATGCTGACTCCTTTTTTGAAACTTAGAACCAATTTTCCCCCATTTTCTGCTTCTCTCTACAGAAAGCTGACCTTGCGGTTGCCCCACTGGCTATTACCTACGTTCGAGAGAAGGTCATCGACTTTTCCAAGCCCTTTATGACACTTGGAATAAGTATTTTGTACCGCAAGCCCAATGGTACAAACCCAGGCGTCTTCTCCTTCCTGAATCCTCTCTCCCCTGATATCTGGATGTATATTCTGCTGGCTTACTTGGGTGTCAGTTGTGTGCTCTTTGTCATAGCCAGGTAACATGCTCACTTTTGTGATTTTTTTGGCAATTGTTACCTCCTTTTCCTAACTAATAATTGTCAAAAGTCACAATAATTTTACTTCTCTTCTTCTTTATTTCCCTTGGGGTGCTGAAATAATGAACTTTTAAGAGTCACCTACCTTATTAAAATCTACTCTACTGCCTTTTTAGGCAGAAGCATGCTGATTGTGTCAGTAAGCTATAACTGCAGGAGAGTTTACTCTTTTTAATTAGAATCTAAAAGCAGTCCAAATTACTATGCCATAAAAATCATTTCCTCATTTTGCTCTTGAGTGAGACAGTAAAATAGTATATTTCACTAATTTGAGTTGATAAATCAGTCTTAAGAAAAACCAAAGTGGTAAGATTTAAAAGGAGGCTTTTTTTAATGAACCAAAGCTAATTAAAAATAAGCATTTTACGTATAAAAGGACTACCATTATTTTCCATATAAAATTTCTCATTTTTCTACAAAATAATTATAATGTATAACTACAAATATGTTTTTGCTCTATCATCACAATTAAATATTAAATAGGAAGGTTATTTTTTCAATTGTATTATATAGCGTCTTCTGGTACGTTTATCACTAAGGATATTTATCCTTTTTTAAATTTATTCTTTTCTCAGTGAAGTCATATATTTTTTTGTAGCAATAAAAAAACAATTAGCTTATTCAATTAAAAAAGGAATCACTTCTAGAATAGCATAAGATTTTTGACATATGCACATTTTTATAGTTATACACAGATATTTCTGATATGTAAATATAAATGTTATGCAAATTTATAATTTACCCCTCAATTGGTTTAGTGTTAACACATGAGTCCTTCAGATAATTATCACTTGCATTTGGCTGAAAATTTGTATTGGAGTCATGTGTACATATAGCTTTGGTAGCTGTGTGGTAGATCATGTTAAAATTTGTATTTGAAGTTTAGAATTCTCCCCCTAGAAACTGAGAATTTGTAGTATAAAGTTCATAAGCCTTTAGTTCTAGCTTTTTCTCATATCTTCTGAAGACAAAACAGCTTTCTCATTTTTGAGCATCTTTGCATCAGTCACATATATTTTATAGCGACCAGTGTAAACACTACTGTTTATATGTAGTCAGAGAAATGAGTTCAAAGATTACAGTTTAAATAATTCAATTGTTGGAGAACTCTACAGCCTGCCCACGAGGCAAACAGAAAAATAAATACTCCAAAGTATAGAAAAAGTCTTCATGCTGTCTGCAGGTACACCTGTTCCTTCTTAATCAAATTAACACGTTCCCAGGAAGCATAAAATCAAAACCTAGGGGCAAATGTCCTGATACCATCCTGAGACAATTGTGCAGGCATCAGTCAAGCTGAATTAAGTCTAATGTAGTTTCCAGGGGACCTTAAGTAGAGACTATTGAGTTACCTCAAATTCATATTAGGAATTTCAGATATTCCTAATTTTCTGAGCCCAATTCTTCTGAGTTTACATTCAAAAGCAAATACTGAAACATCTGAATTATTTTCCAGCTTAAAATTACATTTGCAAATAGAGGCATGTGGAATGGCTATGCACTGATATAATTTTCAAACTATTTTTTAACTCTCACTTTGATAACTATCAAAATAATGATATAATATCTGTATAATTATGGTAACCTGTGCTAATTTTACACAGAATAAATACATCTATGTCATTCTTTTTGAGAATGTAACATTAGCTGGGGTGAGGTTTTTTACTGTCATAAAATTTTGGAATATTACTGTTATATTTTGTTGCTAATTATTAAGTGAATGAATTTGAAAATCATTCTATTTCAGAACCTTATTCAATGAAGATAGTCTCATACAATTTTAAAAATTAAGTATAATATCTTACCTATAATTTATAGGTAAATTAACACATATTTTATTAAATAATAAACAATGTCAGGTATCCTATATTAACTAACAAAGAATATTAGGTATCTTGGTAAATAGTACATAATATGAAAATAAATTCTTTGCAGATTATCCCTGAAATATTTTGTTCAATGCTCTATATTAAAATAATATATAAATATTTGCTAAATTTAAAATCAACATACTAAGAACTCAGATTAAAAGAAAATTTCTTGAATACAGTCCAATTCTTAACTGAGCTTCCAAAGCTAAATAAATTTATGTAATTAAAATCCATTATACTACAATTAAAAAAATCACTCTGATATGGTATTGAAATCCTGTTACAGTGAAAGTTCATAATGTGCAAACCAGACAAAATGTCCAAGTTTCATTGCAGAACTTAATTACTTTTCTAATGTAAATGGTATTATGATATTCGTTATCAGTACAAAATAAATATAGAATTTGATGTTACCTATGAATGAAGACTGTCTTGTTATAGAGAGATCACTAATGAACTCATTAACATTAATATATAAATATGGCATTTTCTTTATGTATATTTTTGTCTCTATCACCATATAATTACAGAGATGTAATTTCAAATTACATTTGAAAAAATTCTCAGATATGTGTTTCATTCCCACTGAAAATCACAGAAACAAAGTTCTAAAATGATACTATGTCAATATCAAAATTTTAAAATAAATTAAATACTGATCATAATTATTAAAATTTATGTTTTCTAAAATTAAATTTAAAAGCAGTTTGTTATTGTGATACCTATTAAAAATTTTCCTTCACACTTATTGTATAAGAAAAAGATTATCTAAGAAATACTTACAAATGCTCTGAAATTTTTTTAACCATTAAGAAAGAGATATATAGTCTTATTTTCTTGGGATGCTTTCATAATCTATGATCTCTTGCAAACAGTTGCATTATCGTTTATAGCTAATGACATAATCAGCATGCTTGTTTGAACTAGCTGAGAATTCTTTTCACAGTAAAGATAAGCCTAAGGTACAGCATTCTAGATATGGAATGGCCTTATCCTGGATATCCTAACCATAGCTCTTGACTGACAGAGGATTAGGAAGAAATTTTATATATGACAAACTTGTACTTAATCATGTTTGTCCCTAAACCTTTTCCCTCATTCTATTAACCTGACCTCTGTATATTAGAATAGAGACAGAAGTTAGTGTTATAAAGAGTCTGGTTAGGAAATCCACCCTTTAAACTCAGAATGAGAGGTATTTTTCACCTTGCTTCAAATATTTTCTTTACTAAACAATTGATAATACTGACGCAGTACATAGTATTTATAAAATGAGCCAATGTAAATGTCCATAATGTTAGAGATTTTTTTTTCCTTTTAACAATAGGTGTCTTCAAGACCAGAGATGTTTTGAAATTCAGCATGTAAATCTTGGTCTAGAGTTCTTAATAGTTTGGTATAGAGGTGAATAACTAAAGACCAAACTTAAAAGAAGAGACTAATGCTATATACATTTTCCTCCAACAGGATTGATGGAACTGTAATAATAATTCACTCAGCTTATAATAATATTGCATATTTTATTCTGAGATTGACATTTTAAAATTAAATACAAATAAACTGGGGAAGAAAAGTAATACTATACCATTTTTTTAGTAAGAATTTTATTACAGAGAAATTTCTTAGGTTACTTAAATGAGCAAGTGAATATGACCAAAAGTAGGAAAAAGAGTAAAAGAAAGCAATACTGGCTAACCTGGCCTTCTTAGGAAAGATGACAAATCTAAGAGTATTCAGTATGTGTTAAGTTCATGACATTAGTTTTTCTACGTTAAAAAGAATATAGGAGTCCCTTATGTGTTTTGGGGTTGAATTACTTTGCATGATTTTTAGAATATTAGAATATCATCTGTTGTATTACTGGATTAGACAGCAGGAGTTGGTATCCCTAGAATCTGTTCAAGGGTTTATAAATACACTAACCACCAGGACTCTCTTGACACACATTTTGGCATTAACTTGGTCTGGGGGTCACAAGATGACAAGGCTATTTTTGCCTTACTGAGAGTTCTTACACTTGTAAAAATATTCTGTATTTCTCTGGGTGCTCAGAGGTAAAGATGCTCTAAACAGTGTTTTTGATGGTTTAACTGACTTTAGAAAGCCATGTCCAAAGTGCTTGCATCAACAGCTTTGATCTACGCTCCTAGCTAGCGTACAATAGCTTTTATGTTCTTGTCACAATGATGGGTGACATTTAATGTACAGTGAAGGACAACAATGACTTATTATGCACTTGGAAATGGATAACTGTTTTGGTGGGATGTTCAATGTTAAACTAATATGCTGTCAAAAAGACTGTTGTCACATTGAAATGAAATGCCAGTTTTGTTGTGTGCCTTTGCCACCAACTTGCCCACCTCTTACTAGAAACCTTTTCAGTTTTACCTTTCAATAACATGATTTTAGATATATTTTACTTTAATTTTTTAGATATTTTTTACTTATGTAAATTTCAGGAAAGCCTATCTGTTATTCCGCTATCCATTTAGCAATTTTCTGTGAGTTTAATGAAAATTTGGTTTGAAATAATGCTGTTTTGCTAGTATTCCTTTCACACATATGAAAGTAACTATTAAAATTGATTATATTCACAAATACTTCAGTTATGGACCTAAAAGTCACCATTGATTAAAACTAAGTGTACTTTCAAACTACGTTTCCATAGGAGATGAAGTTACTTCTACACTAATAACATGGGTTTTTTCCCCACAATTGTTACTTGGTAAATTATTATACAATACTTTACCTCTTTATTTGTAATGATTCCAATAATGTTCATGGCTACAAAATAGAGTTGGAGTCACTAAACCAGAAAAAAATTCTTCATTTGTATCAGTAGAACCAAACCAATTGAAAGCAAGTTGAATTGGTGACTTGTTTCCAGCTTATGGTGAATATTGTATCTAGATAATTGAGGCAGTGGAAATTTTGACTGCAATTATCTTTAAAGTCTGAAGAATCAGACTCTCAATCACTTTAAGAAAAAATAAACATATTTTCTACCTCTCAATTTTATAATTATGCTAGACATTTATAAGAATAAAAGATTTGAAAAAAATCAAGTAA